AAGTATTCTTTAACTTTAGATTGACTAGTAACTAGGGCTGTTTCAATGGCAGGAAACAAGGAAACCACATAGCGGGAATCTGTGCAAAGGTTAAATTCCTCTGAATAATTTTGAAATGCTAGCAGAACTGCAATGAGTTCTGCCTGTTGTGCAGATACAGTTGGGTTATAAGATATTAATGGTGGTCTTGTACTGCAATAAACCACAGACTTTCCACTAGAAGATCCATCTGTAAAAATAGTTAATGCCCCGCCCAAAGGCTCTGTAACCACAACCTTTGGAAATATCACAGGAGTTTCAGTATAAAAATGTAACAAAGGATGTTGGGGCATATGAAAGCTTATTTTACCTGTATAAGTTAATACAGCAATTTTCCAATCATCATCAAATTGTATCAAATGATCTAATTGTTTCTTATTATAGGGGACAATAATGTTAGGTATTTCTTGGCCAAATAATTCTCTAGCTCTTAATCTAGCCTTTAAAATCAAATTAGCACATAAGAAGGGATATGAAGCAACTATTTTTCCAAGGTTATGGGAATAATGGATCCATTCCAGTATCCCATCCTGCCAAAAACATCCTGTGGGAGTGAAGCTTGTAGCCAGAATTATAAAGGACCATGTTTGTGTAATATTAATTTGCTGTATTTTAGCTGTATTTAATGCTTCTTCTACTAATCTTATACAGGATAGGGCTGCAGGAGTTATTTCCCTGGTAGATTTAGGATGAGGATCTCCATTCAACATTTTCATCAAAGGATCTAATTGTCCTGTAGTTATTTTTAAACTAGGCCGAATCCAATTAATATTTCCTAATAATTTTTGGAAATCATTTAATGTTTTTAGTTTATCTATTCTAATTTGTGTCTTTTGGGACATAATATAATCATGTCCAATCACTTTTCCTAGATAATTTAAAGGTCGTTCATGTTGAACTTTATCAGGAGCTATTATTAGCCCGAATTTTGTTAATTGTTCTGTCATATCCTGTAATATTTTCTCTGTCTTTTCTCTAGTTTCATCGGCCATAAATATATCATCCATATAATGAATAATATATGCCTCTGGATATTTTTCTCTAATTTGTTTTATAGCCCTCTTCACATATTGTTGACATAAGGTAGGGCTGTTTTTCATGCCCTAAGGTAGCACTTTCCATTGGTACCTATCATAAGGTTGTTTAAAATTAGCCGAAGGGACACTGAAGGCAAATCTCTTGGAATCTTCTGGTTGTAATTTTATTGTAAAAAAGCAATCCTGTAAGTCTATTATTATTATATATCTACCCTGTGGGATTGCAACAGGAGAGGGTAGGCCTGGTTGAAGGGCTTCCATGTCATGCATGGTCTCATTCATTAATTGCCCTTAGATCCTGTAATAACCTCCATTTTCCTGACTTCTTTTTTTATTACAAAAATTGGAGTATTACAAAAAATGGACTGGTAGTCTCTTCTATCCTTCCTTGACTCAATTGTTCTAGAACTAAATCCTGTATGGCTTGAATCTTCAGCATAAAGCTGTTCCTCAACGGCCCCTATGAAAAATTTTGCTCCTTTGATGAGGAGTCTATTTGCCCTATTTGTATATTTGAGTCAAGGTGGGATTAGGCAACTTTAGATATGAAAGTAAAAGTATTTGGGCTATCCTCTGCCCTTTATGAATTTGAATAGTCTCTTTTAGAGACCTTATCATGACTTTTATAGTGGTAGGACTGTCTGAGTCTATTACTCCTGGTAAAACCTCAAAATTCTTTTTATAGTTTGAACTCCGGCCTATGATTAGGCCCATCACTCCCGAAGGGAGTTCCCCTTTTATGTTTGTCTCTAACAATACAACCCCATTATCTCGGGATATGATATGATCTTGAGTGGCAGCCAAGTCCAATCCAGCACTCCCTGGAGTGGCTCTAGGCAAGTCATGAATAGTTTGCTTTAGTTCCTCTCTTGGGGAGGGGCTGAGAGGTTGCCCCTCCGTCCATTTTTTGTTTCCTCTTGAAGAGGAGTTCCATCTTTATGGAACTTAGATTTACATTCATTTTTCCAATGGTTCCCTCTTTGACACCGAGGACATAAGCTTGGTGCTTTTCCTTCTGTTGCTTTTGAGCTTTACACTCTTTTTGAACGTGGCCTGGTTTGCCACAGTTATGACATACTCTTTGTTCAGGATTATATCCTGAGCCTCTGGTTACCTTTTTCACATATGTTTGAAAAGGCGTTTCTTTTATGGCAGCAGCATACGCAAGTCCCTGAATCATAGCAGGAGAAGCATCTATGCAAGCCTTAACATAGTCTTGTAGGCTTCCTGTTTTTCTTACTGACCTGATCAATTCCTGACACACAGTATTAGCATTCTCCCATGCCAATTGTTTGAGAATGATTTGTGATCCCTCAGAAGGAGGGAACATTCTTGTAATAGCTTCCTCCAACCTAGCTATGAATTCCTCATATGGCTCCTCAGGCCGTTGCTTAATTCCTGATAGAACAGTGGTCTTTCCTTCCCCTGATGGTAACTTTTTCCAGGCCATAACAGCAAGCTTAGTGATGGTTTCTAAAATCTCCTTTGAGAAGTTGTTTTCTAATGTCTGCATAATCCTCCTGACCAGTTAACATGGAGACTGTAGGCTTAGGGCCTGAAGCAGTGAATAATCGCCGTTGCACTTCTCCTTTAACAAGGTCCTCATATTCTGTTCTCCACAATACGTATTGCCCCGGGGTTAGCACCGACTTTGCAGTTTGATACCAATCATAAGGAGTTAGCCAATCAGTTGCCATGGAGTCAAGGATTGTTAAAGTAAAAGGGGCAGAAGGACCCATAGTTTTTACTGCTGTTTGTAATTCTTTTAGCACTTTTAAGGATAATGGCTCCCACTGAGGCGCGCCATGGTCTAGGTCAATAACAGGGAAAGTGAAAGTAGTATCACCGAGCTTTTTTGCCTCTAACATAGCTGCTCGAAAGCCTGTGGACGGAAGTGCGGGCATTTTCACTTTTTCAGTATTACTGTCCCCGTCTCTATCCAAATCTATACATGGTTTTTCCTTATTATCTAAATTTGTAGCTTCCATCATTGTGCCATAGTTTGGGCACTGATTGGAACTCTTTAACTCAGAGGTTTCTTTGACTGCAGGACCTGCTTCCTCGGCTAAGCATTTTAGCTCAGTCTTTTCCTCCATAAGATCTCTTATCTGAGCCCATAGTGAATAGGCTGTCATAGGAACTGCTGCTGAGCCATGAGCTTGGTAGAACTCTTTTATCCCTTGTCCTACCTTTTGCCAATCCTGTAGAGAAAGGCTTCCTTCCTCCGGGAACCAAGGATTAGTTTGTAACACAAAATTATAAATTTTTTTCACTGTTGCTGTGGAGATTTTAATACCTCGTGCTTTTAGCATATGTTTTAAGATAGAGACAAACCTATTCTTATTCTTAGAAGATGAACTCCCCATGATTTACTTGTTATCTTTCCCAGCTGCAACTGAGGGGTCTGCAGCACACCAACGAGTTTCTGACTACTATTCCAGGTGAAAAGAAAAGAGAGAGATGCTTACCTCCCAAGGTTCCTTGACTGAAGAGACTGCTTCGTGCCCCGCTTCGAGCCCCACGTTGGGGGCCACCTGCCACGGACCGGGTTCTGTTGGGACGACGGAGGACTCCTAGGGTAAGAACCTGGAATAGGATAGGGAGATGGCAAACAGACAACTCACACACAAGAGGAGTGGATGCTGAGTGCTGAGTGCAATTTAATGCAGAGGATAACAAACTTTTATAACAGAAGTCTTCATGAGAGAGGGCAAAAGGTTACACAATCTTGCTGCAGGGCTTCATTATTGGGTGGTCATCAGCTGATCACCTGAGAGGTACTTGTTTCGGCTTATCTCTAAGAAATACAACGATTACGATGTTTGTCACCAATTAACCATTACCTATCTTTATAGAGGCCTTAACTTTCCCATAAGATCTTTCCTGTTTTTTCTTTAATAGTAAACCTCAAGGAGACCTGGATCTAGCAAGTCTCTTAGTAAATAGCAGGAGATTCTTTCTCCTAAATAATTATCTCAGCAATTGCCATACATTCTTTCTGTTCTAGCTGAGCCTACAGCTTCTTGTAAGTCCCTTACAAACAATTCCTTCTGCTGAAGTGACTTCGTGAAACCCCCAATACTTTTATATTTACTTATAACTTGTCTACTAGCCTCCATAAGAGGGGTTTCAGGGTAGCACTTAACTCTGGTGAGTTAGCCATATTTTTAAGACACTCATCAGATATTGGAGTCGTCAGCACTCTTAAGAAAGAGCTTTGAATAAGGGAACGTTGACAATGAGTAAGTACAAAGAGCAGTAGAAACAGTAAAAGATTAATAGGCACTCTTATGAGGAAAAGAAAGGCAGAAAGACATCTTTCCCAGGGGATTGCCAGCCTTTCCAGGAGTGGGCCTCTTAGAAGCCCTATTCTCCGAGGTAGACTTCGGTGAAGTCCCAAAACTTGGAGACAGGTTTCTGTAAAGCCCCATTCTCTGAGGTAGACTTCGGTGAAGTCCCAAAACTCAGAGATAGGTCTCTGAAGCCCCTTTTTAGGTCTGATAGATGGTTTCCCATGCTAAGCAGACTCCACTGGAGTCGGCGTGGCAGGCAATAGTGGTGGTGGTGGTGGTGGTGGTGGTGGTGGTGGTGGTAATATGTGTGTGTTGTGTGGCTCGGAGATCAATTCCAGGGCCTCACACATGGTAGGTAAGTATTTTACCACTGAGCTATGCCAACTCAGAAATGTGTGGCTTTTAAGTTTCCTTTCTTCAATGAAGATATAAATAGTTCTATCGTTTGTTGCAAGTTATTATTAAGAAAGGGCCCACAAAGTTCCTTATAACTAAATCTTGTTACAGCACAAAACTATGCTTTACGAAGACAGTTTAAAAAATGTTTAATTATGTTTATGCTCAGAGAAAGAAACATTGAGAAACATGTTGTGGTTTATCTTTTCTTTTCTTTTATGCCTCTTAGAGAAATATGTCTTCATCACTCAAAGGCTCCAATAGCTCCAAATTCCAAGTGTCTGAGTTCATCCTACTGGGATTCCCAGGCATTCACAGCTGGCAGCACTGGCTGTCCCTGCCTCTGGCTCTGCTCTACCTTTCGGCAATAGCTGCAAACCTTCTCATCCTCATCACCATCTCTCAGGACCCATCTCTGAAGCAGCCCATGTACCTTTTCCTGGGCATCCTCTCTGTGGTGGACATGGGACTGGCCACCACCATCATGCCCAAGATCCTGGCCATCTTCTGGTTTGATGCGAAAAACATCAGTCTTCCTGAGTGCTTTGCTCAGATTTATGCCATCCACTGCTTTGTTGGTATGGAGTCTGGGATCTTCCTTTGTATGGCCTTTGATAGATACGTAGCTATCTGTCACCCTCTCCGTTATTCATCAATTGTCACCAATTCCTTCATCTTCAAAGCCACCCTGTTTATGGTGCTTAGAAATGGCTTGTTGGTCATTCCAGTGCCTGTACTTGCATCTCAGCGTAATTATTGTTCCCAGAATGAAATTGACCACTGCCTATGCTCTAACCTTGGCGTCACCAGCTTGGCGTGTGATGACAGAAGGCCAAATAGCATTTGCCAGTTGGTCCTGGCATGGGTTGGAATGGGTAGTGACCTCAGTCTTATTATGCTGTCTTATGCCTTGATTTTGCGTTCTGTACTTAGACTCAACTCAGCTGAAGCTGTAGCCAAGGCTCTGAGCACTTGTAGCTCCCACCTCATCCTCATCCTCTTCTTCTACACTGTTGTGGTAGTGATTTCAGTGACTCACCTGGCAGAGACCAAGGCTACTTTGATTCCAGTCCTACTCAATGTGCTACACAACATCATCCCTCCTTCCCTCAACCCTATGGTGTATGCACTTAGAACCAAAGAACTTCGGGAAGGCTTCAGAAAGGTGTTACGTTGGGGCTCACAAAGGAAATGACACACTAGAAACCATCATGATGCTTGTGAACTTCAGCTTCTTCCAAGTTAACCATGATTTCTAAGGAGAATGGAGGAGGAAGTCAAAGCTTTTGGGATTTCCCTTTCCTATTTTTAAATAATCAATCATGAAAGCATCCAAAAGAAAAAAAGAGAGGAAAAAATTTCACAAAAGTTCCAAACTTGGATAAGGCAAAAATTATAAATATATGCAAGGTTAACTTATTAAATCAATAACATGGGTAAAAAGCTGAATACATTATTTATATCCATTTGCTGAAATTAAAACATACTCACAAACATACAGAAACATACTGACATATATATATAATACACACACATATATATACATATATATTTAATGTAAGAAATAAGTGAGTGGAACATGAATTGCAGGTTAGGCTTGTACATTGTGACCAGTACCTTAGGAGCAAATCAGTTTAGCTGAGTAATAATGGTGAATGACTCCATTAACACGTGCTGCAGGGACGGGAATACTAAATGCTTTAGATAGCAAAGCCAATCCAAATATAATGAAGTTCTCCCCCCCCCCCCCCCCCAGTCCTGGGGTTTGAACTCAGGACCTAGTCACTGTCCCTGAGCTTTTTTTGCTCAAGGCTAGCACTCTACCACTTGAGTCACAGCACTACTTCTGGCTTTTTTTGTGTATGTGTACTGAGGAATCAAACCCAGGGCTTTGTGCGCACTAGGCAAGCACACTACCACTAAGCCACATTCCTAGTCCCATTTTGAAGTTTTTTTTTTTGTTTTTGTTTTTTTTATCGGTCATGGGGCCTCAACTCTGGGCCTGGGCACTGTCCCTCAGCTCTTTAGCTCAAGGCTAGAGCTCTACCACTTGAGCCAAAGCGCTACTTCCAGCTTTTTCTGCTTATGTGGTGCTGAGGAATCGAACCCAGGGCCTCATGCATGCAAGGCAAGCGCTCTGCCACTGAGCCACCTTCCCAGCCCTCCATTTTGAAGTTTCAATGCATGAGGAGATGGCCTAGCTTTAACATGCGGAACCCCAAATCTATCTCTCTGTCTATCTGTCTTTCTATCTGTCTTTCTATCTATCTATCTATCTATCTATCTATCTATCTATCTATCTATCTATCTATCTATCTATCTATCTAAACATCAGAGAGAATTTGGCTATTTATTCTTCCATTTCCAACCTTCTTTGACATCAGGTTTTTGACTGGATATATTTCTGTCTTTCCAGGTAGCTCCACTGCTTCAGCTGCAGTGTTTATATAAATCTATTTAGTGATACTATCTTTCCTGTCCCTTCAGGCAAGAGCCTATGTACCATCCCTGAGTTCTTCTTTTTTTCTTTTTCTTTTGGTATGTATTTTTTATTGTAAAAATACTGTACAGGGGGTTACAGTTACATGAGTAAGGTAATGAGTACATTTCCTATGGAGTGTTGTTACCTCCTCCCTTGTTTTTCCCTTACCATCCCTTTCCTCCTCCTCACCTCCTCAACCCTTCCCTGCCCCCTCCCACTGTAAAGTTCATTGTAAAGTTGTAAAGTTAGTTTTCAACATAGTCTTGTACATCTCGTTGTTACAACAGGTCATCCTATATCCTTATTTCAGCATTTTGTTATTTCCCTTCCCCTCCCCAAATTAGAAAAACGTATGTACAAGATTCAGGACACCAAAAAAAAAAAAAAAAAAAAAAAAAGATTCAGGACACCAGAATCAAATACAGTGAAAACAGGGGTTATACCAGGAGGGAAGAACATACAAAAGAAACAAAAAAAATCACAGGGTACATTGTAAATACATTAAAACAACAGCAAGAAAGGTAGAACCACTTGTGTTTCTATCTTGGGGTTCATGTCACTTAGCATCATCTTATATGGTCATATATACATAGCTTTTGAGCTTTTCTGGTTGTCCTAGACATATACTAGTTATTGCAAATAAGGGAAACCATGTGTCCCTGAGCTTTTCTACTCACATATGCCACAGCTCAACGTCTGGCTTTTTGGTGGTTGATTAGAGATAAAAGTCTCATGGTAATTTTCTAGCCTAGGCTGAGTTTCAACCATGAGTCTCAGATCTCAGCCACCTGAGTAGCTGAGGTTACAGATGTAAGCCATGTGCGCTGAAGTAAAACTGGGTTTTTATGAAAGTTTTGTCCTGGCTAGCCTCTAACTCCTGATCCCTGTCTTGTGAGTAGATATGATTAAGGGCAGGAGGATCATAGCTCAGCTTAACAACGGCTTCAATACTGCACTCATACCATTCTTGTCACAAGAATTTGCACCTGATAATTCATACATTTTTTGTGTTTATGCTGGTACTGGAGCTTGAAATCAGGGCCTTGTTCTCTTACTCAACTTTTCCTCTCATGGCTGGGGGCTTACCACTAGAGCCACACCTCTACATCTGGTATTTGGTGGGTTAATTGGACAAAAGATCCTCAAAGTTTTGTCTGTCCTGGATAGACTTGAACAGCTACTGTTTGATCTCATCCCTGTGGGTAGCTAGGATTATTATAGTCATAAGCAGCCATATATGCATAAGTCTGAACTATGAGTGAATTTCTACACTGGGATAAAATTCTTCAGTAATCTCACTTGAGAGTAGCATCAGAATCAGAGTTCATGTTATCTGATGCTTTTCATGTATTTCCTAGTCTGACTCAGTGAGCAATAAGGATTCAGTAGTGTAATTTAAATATCAACAGGTGGAGTGACTACAGAAGAAAAAGTAGGAGTGTATTTGTAAGTGTGGAAATACTGTATTTAAGTGCATTCAACATGCATGCCACCAGAACCTGCACAGAAAGAGACACCATTCTGCAATAATTGTCAAGATCATGAATTTTTATTAAAGTTGTATTGTTCTGTCTAATCCCCACATGCATTGGCATGCAAACACTCAGGGAAAGGTGAACACTTACATGCTGACAGCATTATGTATGCCTCATGTCCTCTCTCTTCCCATGGTGTTCATCTTCACAACAGCACCTGCTTTTCCCATCTTCTGAAACGTTCCCTTGGGACATAAAGCTCAGCCTATCCTTTAAAAGCTCAGCTCAGTAACAGTTATAATGGTCTTTAAGAGTTGATGGGCATGCCTGTGCATACGTAGTAAGATGGTGAGATTTTTCAGGAAGCAGATTTGAACACCTGGACAAGATCACTTGCATCTTTGTATTTCTCTTCCAAGAAACCAGGTATTCATGGGAATACAAAGGTGCAGAGGGCTAGAGGCATGGCCTTTTCTAAGGCAGTAAGAGCTAGTGGAGAATGCTTTGTGATTACCTGTGACTTAGTTATTCTCAGAAATAAAGGTTTGAATCCATTCAGCAGGCTTGAAAGCAGAAATGTTCTGAAAAACTGGGATTCCTTGCAAAATATTTTTAAGACAAAATTTCAGGCTATGATTTAATTTGATGCTTCATGAAAATTATGAACTTATTATTCCCCAAACCAAAAAGATATAATCAAGTGTGACAACACTAAGTAGAAAATTAACCTTAGAACACTCTCTCATTCATCAGAACACTATTGTCTCTTACTACTGGTCCTTCCCTGGACTCTCAAAGAGGACAGTTCTTCTTTTTGTTTTTTTCATTGTTAAGGTGATGTACAGAGAGGTTACAGTTACATGAGTAAGGTAATGAGTCCATTTCTTGTTGAACATTGTTATTCCCTCCCTCGTTTTCTCCCTCTCTCCTTCCCCTGACTCCCCCCTCCCAAGTTGTAAGGTTCATTTCCAACATAGTGTCTTGTGAGATTCACTGTTGCATTGGTTCACCTTTTGTTCTTTGTCTCACCATTTCTGAGATTCCCCTTCCCATTCCAAATCAGATAAACTTATATACAAGACAAAGGGTACCAAAATAAAAAATAGTGACAACTGGGTAAGCCAGAGGGGTTGGGGGAAACAAAGGAAGAAAGAGAAAACTACATACAGTTGTTTATAATTGTGGGTGTGTTTCACCCACTTTGATAGTAACACTTCATTGGAAACCTCCATTTCCATGTGAAGAGCAGAAAATAGTTCTTTTTTTTTTTTTTTTTTGGGTCCGATCGTGGGGCCTGAACTCTGGGTCTGGGTGCTGTCCCTCAGCTCTTCAGCTCAAGGCTAGTGCTCTACCACTTGAGCCACAGCGCCACTTCCGGCTTTTTTCTTTTTGCTTATGTGGTGCTGGGGAATCGAACTCAGGGCCTCATGCATGCAAGGCAAGCGCTCTACAACTGAGCCACCTTCCCAGCCCCGAGAAAATAGTTCTTAAAGATGATTAGTGAGAAAAGCAAACTTGCTATTTATGATATTGACAAGGAAGAGTAGATGCCAGTTGATATCTGAGTTATACTTTATAAGCAATGACATTTCTGCATTAATGTTACTTTTTTTTTTTAAAACACATCTGTTCATCCCCACTGAATCATATGAGTTAATTTCCTTCCAAGAAGAAATGCATCATAAAGTATTGAAATAATTTGAAATTGATTTTGGTAGGAAAATATCTAATTTGTTTTGTGTTAAATATTGTATTATTTTGGTATCAGTGTGGCTCTCTTACTGACAGATTTGTGCATGTACTAAACATCAGATCTAAAACTGTTGTATAAAATTTAAACCAGTTTTAGTGATTACAATGGTACCTACTAGAATCACAAGGAATCTAAAGTAGGATTTTTATCTTAAATTGTGGAAAGCTCTTTTTTTTTTTTTGGCCAATCATGGGGCTTGAACTCTGGGCTTGGGCGCTGTCCCTGCACTCTTCAGCTCAAGGCGAGTGCTCTACAGCTTGAGTCATAGCACCACTTCCGGTTTTCTAATGGTTTATTAGCGATAACAGTTTCACGGATTTTCCTACCCGGGCTGGCTTTGAACTGCGGTCCTCAGATCTCAGCCTCCTGAGTAGCTAGGATTACAGGAGTGAGCCACCTGCGCCTGGCAGAAAGCTCTTCTTTAGAATACAGCACAGGTGGGGCTAGGAAAGTGGCTCAGTGTTTGAGTGCTTGCCACGAATGCA